GATTATATCCTGTTTTTGTACTATGTTCATATTTTTTATTGCATGTCTAGGGATAGCCCACATAGGTAACTTATCATTTAGTTTATATTAATATTTTTTCCAAACCCGCAGTAGAGCATTCCTTAAAATATGACTTTTAAAATTCTTATCCACCTTTTTGTTGTATAGCAAATAAGCATGCCAACCATATACCAAATCATACCCTTCAATATTAAGTATTCTATCATCTGTTAAGTTAATCCAGTCACTAATTATAGATAGAACTACTGCATCATAATATAGTTTTAAATTGGGTAATTTCAAACTTCCTCTTTCACGCACATCTTGCATTATTTTTAGTTTTACTCTCGGCTTCTTCCCTACCCATACAAATTTATTAATACCCTTCTGCCATTCTAGCAGGTTTGCATCATTTTTAAGTATTGGTAATGTTTGAAAAAGAAATAAAAATTTAGGTAGAATATTCATTTTCACTGCTGCTATTCTTGCTCCAGCCTCATTTCTTAAGTGACAGACTTTCCAAGGATTGATGACTTGCTGAGGGACCCTCCATAAGATCTCCCCATTCGTCTTCCTCTTCTGTTGGCCTCTTTTCCTGCTGGACTTTTCCCAGTGGTCAGCCTTAGCTCACTTTGTAAGTGCTATGGCCACATCTTTAGGACCATATTGATTAGCAACAACAAGCTAGCCAGTTCCAGTAACCTGAGGACGGCCTGTATGCAGAAGTCTTTTGAGAGAACAATGAGAAATCAGGGTCTAAAAAGAAAAACACTGCAGGAGACAGGCAAGAGTTCACAGTTGTCAGATGCAAAGCTTGTGGCATAATTTAAGCGTCCGGTGGTATTTGCCCCAAAGTGCTAGCTGGAAGAAAAACCAAACTCTGTTGGTTCAGGACAGTGACACTTTTTTTATCATTTCCCCCCACAGTTTTGCAACTCATGAATAATTGCTTGTTTATTGTTCTATTGAATGGGATATATTTTCCTTCTGTGAATCATATTTATACTAGTATGAATTAATACACATTATAATAATCATGCAGATCTGAACATAGCATGCCTGTGGCTGTGTTTGGAGAAGGCAGGGAAAGTGATCAGGAGCTGAGTATCCTTGCACCATACTACTAATCGCATTCTGAAATACGTTTTGGCCTTCGAAGGCTGGAATCCCAGGGTGACCCTGGGGAAGGAGGGCGAGAGATGCTGCCTGGGGGGCAAGGGAGGGAGGGGGCCCCAGAGACAGAAGGATCAAGCAGTGAAAAGGGAGGGTGGAGAGGTTTTTACTTTCAGACTTGCAAAAGTCCGTTAATGTCTCTGTACAATGCAGGAAGTCCAGTAACGTGGAATTGGGGGAGAAAGGAGCCATCACTGAGCACTGGGGATCCCACCTTGTCTCAAGGAGGAAGTGATGTGGTAGCATTGCACACAGAATACCGCAGCAGCACTGGCTGTCCCAGGAGAACCGACCTGCCTGAAATCGGATGTGGGAATGATGCCCGTTCAGCCTGCCTTTGAAATGGGAACCAAAGGCCCCCACCCCACCTCGGAGGACCCAAGTGTGTCTGCGCAGCTTCTTCCTGGCCCTCCTGCTTGGGGCGATTCGGCTGGTGCAGGTTCAGCTTGGAAGAGGCTGCACAGACGCTCCCATCTTGGAGAAGGGTGGCATTGTAGCTGATGGGCTTAGGATCGCTTCCCCAGAGGACCTTAACCTCCCTGGAAACGACCTTCTAGCTGCTCAGGTGGCCGGGTGGGGGGGAGGCAGGTTCTGCCAGAAATGGAACATCCTCCTGGCTGCCTTGTTGAAAATGCCTCTCCATTGCTTAAAACCTTCTTCCTTCAGAAGATACCAGTCTTTATCACTACCATTAAGTTCACAGCTTGCTTTTAAAATTATTTTTAACGTGCATGTTACTGCATAGAAAAATAATGAATTCATTGTTGGGGTGGTGGTGGGGGGCTAAGAATGAAGAAACAGTGTTTGGGAATTTCCATTTCCCAGTCAGGCACTGAGATCAAGATTTGGGCAAGAACAGCCAAAATGACCCACCTGCTCCCCGGCATGGGAACGTTGGATGTAAAAGAAGTGATGGATTGATTGCTTACGTCCCATCGCTCCATTGTTGACCCTCAGCAACAACAGAAACCGATTTATTTCCCCCGTGATGATCCCTGGTCTTTCAGGCCTTTTGGCAGAGCCCCCGCTGCCACTGTGGCCGAGTGTGTCCCATCGGCTACGGGTTGTCTCTTCTTTTCCTCTCTTCTCCCACCTTCCCAGCAACAGACCCTTCTGCCAAGAGCTGGTTACACATCCAAAGAAGATCATACGAGCCGGCCCTTTGTGCCTCAAGGGGTCCGATTTGTTCAATGATCCATTGGTTTGTTTTCTTGGCTGTCCACGATATCCTCAGCGGCCTTTTCCAAAATCAGAATTCAAAAGATCAAAGTTCTGATATTAACGCTCTTCATAACCTGCTTCTTCAAAGTCCACCTTTCATTGCCGTAGAGGGTTGCATGGATTCCTCCGTCTCGCCTCGTTCTGATCTTTGTGGGACTAGAAGTAGCAGAGTCACCGAATTGCAAGGGCTGCTCTGCCCAAGGCTGATCACCTGCGGCAGGTTTCTTAACTGCCTCTGCCTTCCTTCCGTGGATGGTTGATCCTGGAAGGCAGAAGCTCTCCGCCCCTTGGACACCTTCATTGTCCATTCTGAGGCTCATTCTTCTACTTGTCAATTACTTTTGACTCCTTTACGTTCAGCAGAGAAAGTCGCTCTGTTCAAAGTTGATACAATTATCTGAAATTGGAATTGTCTTAGAAAGTGGAAGCTTGAAGACGGGGCCAGACAAGAGATTTGTAGAGTGTAGATGCAGTTTGGGGCTCCCTTTCTGCTTTTGACAATGGCGCCAGAGCATGTGGGGTGAAATCCCCTGAAGCCCCAAAGGAAGCTGGACGAGTGCGGAGGCTCCTCTGAGCTTTGTCTTGACAAATGTTCCTCCAGATCATAACTTTGCTCACAAACGTACCCTTTCCACCGCCCAAGGCAGGACACGCCACTGCAGGGTTTCAAATGAAGTGGTTCCTAGGTTGTTTGGGGTATTTGCTTATTTCAGCCCCATCTGTTTTAAAGCGGTCGGTGAATACCCGAGTTAGACCAGTCCAAGTGGAGAAGTGACGGGAGAAGAAGCTTTCGGGACTGGCAGCTCAGTGGAGCCTCCTTGGGCTTCCCTCTGGATTTCCACTGCAAGAAGCCAAAGGCTGCCCACGGCGGCGGCTTCCCCGCTGTCCATGGGGCTGGCTGTGAAGGGGATCAGGCTCCCTCTTGGCCAGCAGAGTGCCCTTGGGTGCCAGCTTCACATGGCTGCCGCTCCCTCCCTCCCTCCTTTTGTAGGCCTCCCAGAGACAAGATTCCGTCCCCTTTGGCCCCGGAGGCCTGGCCCTCCTCCCACTTGCTATCAATCATTGCACAGGAACCTAATTCATGGGGGGAAGAGCATTATGGGAGCAGCTGCAGGTACGCAGAAGGGGCGTAATCAGTGGCTCTGCCTCTCTGGGCCAGGTGCCGGGCCTGCTGCCATCGTCTGGGGGGGGATTTACCTGGCTTTGACCGGAAAAGGTGAGTCGGGCTTCCAGTCTCATCCAGCAACAGGCGTCTCCGGGTTATCCAGCCGAATCCCGAGAAGAGCCAGTTCAGTTCAGAAGAGGCTCCTTGTGCTGTTGAGGGGTGCAGAAACGGAGCCGTCCGTAGTGCCTCTCCTCAGCCTCCTCTCCCTCTGCTCTCCCTTCCCTTTCAGACCAACATCCCTTTCCTGCAGAACGTGCTCAGTAATGATCAGTTTCTCCATGGCACTGTGGACACCCAGTTCATTGATGAAAACCCAGATCTCTTCCATCTGCGGCCTGGCCAGAACAGAGCTCAGAAGCTGCTCCACTACCTGGGTAGGTTTAGAATCCTGCCATCCAAAAGACTGCACCCCCCCCCCCCACAATGATCAAGGAAGGAACCCAAGCCCTTCGTGACCAATGGCTGCCTCCAGCAGAGGGGGATCCACTGCTGTCACTATTAAGAATCTCTCCCCCATTTAACAGGATCTGCTTTCTGTCACTTAAACCCTTGTTCCGATCCACACCCTCCCCCTGGAGAGGCAGAGATCTCAGCTCAGCTTGCTTCGGGTCTTCGGTGGGTTCACACATTGGGTCTTGACTGGGCGGGGAACGAGAAAGGAAGCCAAATGGATTTGAATCATCTCGGGGTTACTTCTTAGAAACGGAAGTTCAGAACCCCGTTAGGGGATGGGCAAAGCCTTTCTCTCCTGCTGTGAGCAGCCAGGGGCATCTGCAGGCAGTCCCCTCCGTTGACTTCTCCTCCTCCTCTTCCTTTCCAGGACACGTCATGGTCAATGGCCCCACCACGCCCATCCCTGTGAAAGCCCAACCTTCGCCCATTGATCCGTTGGTCCCTGCGGTTCCCTTAGGTGAGTTGTTCCCAGAAGCCCTCTTGTTTTCCAGAAGAACTGGGGGAGCCGCCCCCAAGACATCTGGCTGCAGCAAAGAAAACGCTCGGCTGGACCGCCACTAACTGCTGGCCTTCAGGAAACGGCTGCCGCTGCCGCTGCCGCCCTGAGTCACAGAAGCACTTGGGATCCCGGGGACCATTTACGGCCAAGGATGGTTAATCGCTTGCTGACCTGGTGGGACTCATAAACTACCCAAGTCTCCTGCGACTCTCTGCAGCCTCCATTCCACTATACAGGAATAGGGTTAAAAACAAGGGACTGGAAGGAAAAGTAGGAGAGAGAATTAGCTTGATCAATAGCAATAGCAATAGCAGTAGACTTATATACCGCTTCATAGGCCTTTCAGGCCTCTCTAAGCGGTTTACAGAGAGTCAGCATATTGC